AGCCGGTAGTGCTGCAATCCATATTTCTTTTCGTACTGAAACCTAGCCTTCACCTTTTCAGGTATTTACTGCATAGTCTCTTTTTTAATTTAAATAACCTCAATCAATATGTTTCACAAAGGTTACTTTGAACGAGCAGAAGGACACAGGAATGATAGAGATGGAGGAAGAAGGGCACCATAACAGGATTTTTCCCTTTCCCCTTTTTCTCCTCTTAGTTTGATGATTAATCGAAAGCCATTAGTAGGAAGTCAAGGCCAGTGAATTCAGTTTTAATTAGTTTCTTTTTTTACCTCCCTTTCTGCTGTGGTTTGACGCAATGTATGTATTATCTACTCACTGTGAAATTGGCAAAGTGTTTATCTGATTTTGCTCTACTGTCTTTTAGCTGCTTTTGCTGTACTCTGCAACACCAGGGGGGCTGAAGCCTCACCTTTGGTTTTGAGAATGGCTTCTTCATTAGAGGCTGAATGCAAACACAAGCTGTAATACAGTAACTTCTTTTAGCAGAAAAAGCAAAAGGACATTTAGATGAGATGTTATGGTGTTCCCATTATCATCAGCATTTGAGGCTGGATGTAATGGGAGATGGACATGCTGAGATTTACTAAATAATGTCTCAATTTCCTAAACCCTAGGGATCAGTTGGATTGTTGTTATTAGCTAGATAAGGATGTTCCACTCTCACCAGTCCTTTATTATAAATATAGGCTCTGGTGTAGATATTGTGCTGTGACATACACTATATTGCCAAAAGTATTTGCTCACCCATCCAAATTATTGGAATCAGGTGTTCCAATCACTTCCATGGCCACAGGTGTATAAATTCAAGCACCTAGGCATGCAGACTGTTTTTACAAACATTTGTGAAAGAATGGGTCGCTCTCAGGAGCTCAGTGAATTCCAGCGTGGAACTGTGATAGGATGCCACCTGTGCAACAAATCCAGTCGTGAAATTTCCTCGCTCCTAAATATTCCACAGTCAACTGTCAGCTGTATTATAAGAAAATGGAAGTGTTTGGGAACGACAGCAACTCAGCCACGAAGTGGTAGGCCACGTAAACTGACGGAGCGGGGTCAGCGGATGCTGACGCGCATAGTGCGAAGAGGTCGCCAACTTTCTGCAGAGTCAATCACTACAGACCTCCAAACTTCATGTGGCCTTCAGATTAGCTCAAGAACAGTGCGCAGAGAGCTTCATGGAATGGGTTTCCATGGTCGAGCAGCTGCATCCAAGCCATACATCACCAAGTGCAATGCAAAGCGTCGGATGCGGTGGTGTAAAGCACGCCGCCACTGGACTCTAGAGCAGTGGAGACGCGTTCTCTGGAGTGACGAATCGCGCTTCTCCATCTGGCAATCTGATGGACGGGTCTGGGTTTGGCGGTTGCCAGGAGAACGGTACTTGTCTGACTGCATTGTGCCAAGTGTAAAGTTTGGTGGAGGGGGGATTATGGTGTGGGGTTGTTTTTCAGGAGCTGGGCTTGGCCCCTTAGTTCCAGTGAAAGGAACTCTGAATGCTTCAGCATCCCAAGACATTTTGGACAATTCCATGCTCCCAACTTTGTGGGAACAGTTTGGAGCTGGCCCCTTCCTCTTCCAACATGACTGTGCACCAGTGCACAAAGCAAGGTCCATAAAGACATGGATGACAGAGTCTGGTGTGGATGAACTTGACTGGCCTGCACAGAGTCCTGACCTCAACCCGATAGAACACCTTTGGGATGAATTAGAGCGGAGACTGAGAGCCAGGCCTTCTCGTCCAACATCAGTGTGCGACCTCACAAATGCGCTTCTGGAAGAATGGTCAAAAATTCCCATAAACACACTCCTAAACCTTGTGGACAGCCTTCCCAGAAGAGTTGAAGCTGTTCTAGCTGCAAAGGGTGGACCGACGTCATATTGAACCCTATGGATTAGGAACGGGATGTCACTTAAGCTCATATGTGAGTCAAGGCAGGTGAGCAAATACTTTTGGCAATATAGTGTATCTGTCTAGGACCCTTTTCCCTGATAACTGAACCTGTGGTGTTAGGAGGACAATAACTGTGATATAGCTGCAGTTAATCCTTTTCATCTTGCCATTGTTAATCCTTGCTCTGACCAGTTCTTCCACATCTATTTTAGACTTGTTGTGTTCTGTTGAAATTGCTGTCCATTTTAACACAACTACTTCAGTTCTTTGGAAAAGTATTACAAAACCTTTAAGCTTTTTCTCATTTTCTAACCAACCTTTTCAAAATAGAGTTTAACTGCAAAAAGAAAAAAAAACAGACAACTTTCAAGTAACAAGTGTTACTTCCTGCTTTTCTGTTCAATTCCCTAGTAGATATGTTTGTTAAAACAGCTTTTATCATGTCTAAACCTTTATATCTTTTTGTTATATGATCACATCTAGAAACTGATCATTTTTTCTCAATTTCATGATAGATAGTACTGAATAGAGAGCATCTTTATAAAGATATTAAGTGGTAAATGGCTTGCACTTTTATAGTGCTTCTATTAAGCCCAAGGACACCAAAGGGCTCCACACTACAATCAATCATTTACCCCTTTACACACATTCCCACACTATAGGTGGTAAGATGCATTGTTGCCACAGCTGCCCTTGAGCAGCCTGACATAAGAAGAGCTGCCATTTTCTGACCATCAACAATAGGGAAGGTGGGTGAAGTGTGTCCCCCATAGAGATGACAGACAGACAGGGTCTTACTCGCAGCCCACTGATTACAGGCTGGGTTGAGTTCATGATTTTAACTATTTCAACTAAAGAATATGCTTCAATCTAAACCATTCTGCTTTAAATCTGTGGTTGCTTAAGGTCATTGTAAAAGCCACAACACACCTGACACAATTTAGTGTTCGATCCTAAGGAAAAGTGGATTAAATGAGGATGTGGCACTCCCTACAAATGTTGTAGCTCTGAACAAGGTAGACTATTGCATCACATTGGATGCCAAGAGAAAAGCAAAAAAATCATTCTCACAAATATGTTAAAGTAGTTTCACCCTTGAGTTCATTAAACACAGTGCAAAAAAATCCCACATGGGCAAGGAACTGCAGATTTTTGAGAAGAAATTAGTCAACCGCTGTGCAGTCCTCTTATGATGACTGCACACCTTTCTTTTCTTTAATAAAGAACCTTTTTTTTTTTTTTTTTTTTCAGAATTTTACCTAGTCAAATGCAGGAGATTTGATCAATTTATGGGAAATTGTGGTAGAAGTAAAAACTAAGGCACGGTCACACACAAATCAGGACATCTAGTCGCCCAACGCGTAGCGGGAGCCTCTATGCAGCCAATGTGACAAAAAAAAAAAAAAATCACATCTGTGCTCGCAGAATTTGTTGCAAGCTTTGTCACCCTGCCTTCATCTTGGCAGTTTAACAACTGCCCAAAAGTTGCATGTTTTGAGGCGTCTTACAGGTTTTCAAGCTTGATTTAATCAATTACATCCGCCTAAAAGCTCTTATTTTCCTGCTGAAAAGCAGCATCCCCACAACATAATGCTGCAGTGCGGGTGTCTTCAGGGTGATATAAAAAAATTTCCTTCGTTATATTTTTCAATTTGGCCAAAAAAAGTTTAATTGTTGTTTATGTATTATTTAAGCAGAACATCTTCTTAAATGTGTTTAGTTTCACAACTTTTCATTGATTTCTTTTTATAATGGCTTTCCTAATGATGCAGAAGGGTCAGGTGTTTGACAAAAAAGTTATGTGGACTGCATACTATCATCCAAGCATTGGATCTTCTTATGCTGAAGAGCTGCTTCTCTGACCATGCGTATCTTTAGCAGCCTGCCAGTATATTTGGCCATGTTTGGTCCACTAGCAGTTGGTTACACTAAATTTTACTAAGTACTATTAGATTAAAAGGGGGCTGGACACCTATGTAAGCCAAAATTAAATTTTTTAATCAGTAAATAATTTGAAATGAACAAAATATATTTTTTCTGCTTCATAACGAATCCATATCAAATATATTGATTGTTTTGAACATAAATCAAATATTTTATCTCTTTTTAATCAGTTTTTTTTTTTAAACAAAAAAACTTTGAATTACTGTTCATAAACAAATTAGTTTGTCAAGAATGAGAGGATTCTGTAGCATAAATAAAATACATTACATTGTAGCCTACGCTCTTTATGCCCATTTGCTATTAAAATACTCACCTAAACTATGAATTTTGCTAACATAAATAGTTATATTTTAGCAATTCCGACAGATTTTATTATTTCTGGACATAACTTCAAATTCCAGCTAAGTATATTTGCTGTTAGTCATTTCAGTCAGGATCCCAGACCATAAATTTACATAAAGGACAGCTTGTGAGATTGAGGACTACAATGTAATGCTACAGAGCCAATGACAAAATGATAGACTTTTTTTATCCCTTCCCTCTGGTCCTTTGTTCTCATTTTGTTTTGTTGTCAGAGCCTAAGGGTTTATGTGGACTTGTTTGTGATGCAAACATTTTTCCCCTTAGCCGTTTTCAGTTTCAGTTTACAGTCCAAGAAATGTATTACACACAATGAAGTCCTGCGGCTAGTTGATTCAGTGACAAAGATAGAATCTATGCATGCTATCAGTGTCAGAGCAGCCTTTGTTATCAGTTTATAAACTGATTTTATTAACTTTAAAGTCGAATATTTCATTGCCATAGCTTTACTGATGCTGCAACCAATTTAATTTTACCAGAAGTGGACAGCTGGGCTGTGTCAACCTTTTGAGTGTTATTGAGCCTGACCCCATCTGACTGCTTATCTTTTGTTTTAATAAAACGGTCTTTGCCTTGGCATTTACATACTTTCTCCCAAGTCAATTATGCTCATTAAGTTTTGGTTATTATCATTATACCAATAATGGAGATTATCCAAAGTCACCTCAGCTATTCAGACTGTGACTCACAAGTTGTCTTACTTTTAGAAGGTCATCCTCTGCCATGATCCATTCTCTCAGTGCACCAGCAGTCTTACATCCCTGTCCTTTGTGTTCCTCAGACCTTCGGGAGATAGTGTTTGTTCTCCAGAGTCAAAGCAACTCATTCCATGTGAGGAAGGCAGAAAGGCAGAGGGCAGATTTACTGAAGCAGGCGCATGGTCTCACTGAGGTAAGCTTGAAGTATGTTTTCTTTCATCCATTCTTTATCTGAATTTGGCACAAACACCCCACATGTTCTCACAGAAAATAAATATGTTGAAATGAACCCTTGCTGCCATAAAGATAAATACGTTGCTGACTCTAAACGTTTATGCCCTTTGCTGCAAACACTAGTTAGTAAAATGTATTGTCATGCCATTTGTAAAGTTAACATTTTGTATTATCTGTTTTGTGTAGATAACACAGCTTAATTTAACTTAACAAAAAATGTTTTTTACGTTTTTGCAATATAAAGAAGTACTCCTAGATTTTATTATTAAATGCTTAGAATAGAAATTATTTATGCCTTCATGGCTACTGCGTGTAAATCCATGTCTTAAATATGAAAGCGTAGTTTAAAATATTTAGAGCTTTCAGCACTTTGTGACATTAGGTTACTTATAATTTTATATAAATAGGAAATCTCTAAAGCACTCTAAAGCAGACTGAAGACACTGCATCTCAATGTGCTACACTTTATAGCACAGCCAGCAAATAATGATGGCCACCCTTTTAATGCTTACCACATTTGTGCTACATTTAGTTTTTATCCCTTTGCTCCCACTAGTGGCTTTATGTCTGCTCTAGATTAACAAAGCAATTGGTACTAAAGACGTGGAGCAGCAGCCAGGTTGAGTCCAGCATATAGGAGCTATTTTAACTATCAGGAGTAACTGAAAGAAGACTTTCTCTTTTTATTATTATATCAATTAACCCTCCTACTGTAGGTTCCTGGAAATTCCTCATACCTGCCATCTTCTGCTTTATCTGGGACTGGGTTGCAGGGACTACAGTCTTAGCAGAAACTCCAGGACTTCCTTCCCAGGCTAGCCAAGAGGGTCTCCCATCAGGATCTCTCTCTTCACCCTGGGCTCTTCCAGAAGGGAAATGATTGGAACATAGGGAGGCATCCGAAAAAGTTATCTGAGGCACCTCAGCTGACTTGTCTCGATTTTGAGGAGAAACGACTTTAACCCAAGCTTTTCCCTGATTACCAAGTTCCTCACTGTATCTCTAAGGGAGAGCCCAGCCACCCTGTGCAGAAGCTCATTATGTTCGCTTGTTTCTGGGATCTCTTTCTCTTAAAATTGATCCAGATTTCATGAATATAAGTGAAGTATAAGAACAAAGACTGGTAAATCTGGAGACGGGAGGCTTGCCTTTTGACTCAGCTCTCTGTTCACCAGACCAGTGCAGTGACAAATATATCATTCTCTAGCTCCATTCTTCTCTCACTATGGAATAGGACATCAAGATATTATATTTGACTCCTTCACTTGAGGCAGGAACTCTCCTTCAAGCTAAAGGGGACTAGCCGCCTTTTTCCAGAGAGCTCATTCTCTTCCTGGCCGCTTCACACTCAGCTGTCAAATGCCAAATGTGGAAAGAGTACTGACAATTTGTACTCATGTACAAGTACTGTTACATTGCTTAAATTATTCTCAATTAAAAGTAAAAGTGCTGGTTATAAAAAATTACTTAAGTAAAAGTACAAAGTACTCTTTTCGAAAACTACTCAGAGTACCAATTACTGTTTAACTGATGGATGTTTTATTGCATTGCATTGCATTTTTGTTTTTTTGTTTTTTTTGCTGAGAACTTGTTTATTGTGGCCGTGGTCTTTTGCTTTTGAGATGTTGCTGCCACAGTGATGTACTGCTCCATTTCTGATGGATGTTTCCTCTGCAGAGATGAATATGATCACACTCCAGGTTCAAACATTACTTCATCAAATCACTGTGATTACCACAGAAGTAAAAAAAAACACACATATTAAAAAAATTGTTCAATCAGAGTAACAATTTAAGCGGACATTTTTGTTTAGCATTATATAAAAGAGTGTCAGGATCTGTTTAATTGGGTTGTTTTGTATTTGGTGTTGTTAGTTTCTAGGTTTGATTATGATTCTGTGTTCCTTAGTGTTTTTATTTTATTTATAGTAGTCCTGTTCCTGCTTTAGTTAAATTCAATTTGATGATATGATTGAAGAATCATAAATTTGGGTAAATCTGCGAATTAATTGACTAAAGATTTAGTTCATAACGTATTATGACTCACTTTTATGCAAGCACGTTTAGCTAGCTCAGTCATCAGATTAAACAACGGCTGTGACGATATCTGCAGACTTGGCTTAGCAACACTAATAGCCTTAAAACCCATAAGAAATCAGAGAGTAATATCATATAAGTAGAGTTGTAAAACATCTTAATGCATTGTGTTTTTTTTTTCAGATTAGATGTTGAAGTTTTATAAGCTGATGTGATCGTAGCAGTCAAACAAATTTTGCACTGCATCTGCACGCCGTCTCCTTTTTTCCCTATGATGTGAAAAACTCGTCCAGTTCTCAGACTTTGTCTTTTTCTCATCATTTTCACTGTTTACTGTGTTGTCTTCTGTCTCCATTTTGGCTTCCTTGTACTGCTTTTTTGCTTTTTTACTCCACTCCAAACCTGTAGCTGCTGCTGTGGATTTTTTTTCTTGCTTCAGTTGAGTTGACTTAAGTATAGGAAAGATGAAAAGCAGGTGTCCAGGAGGTGCAAATAATTGGCGTAGGCTATGTAGCAAAGTAGCAATTTGTGATTTTGAAGATAGCATAACATGGTATAAATTCCATGTATGAGTAAAATTACACATAAAAAAAAAAAAAAAGACTCAATGCTCCCGAAAACTACTTAATTACAGTAACGTGAGAATTTGTTATTCCTTACTTCCACCTCTGTCAAATGCCCAACTGCGCGCTGTAGATCTTGGCAGGAGGGAGCCTGCAGAACCACATCATCTGCAAAAAGCATGGACAAAATATGCTAGTCTAAAATGTACTGAGAGGCGGTCTGACTTAATGCTTGGAAATGTCACATGCCTTGATTTGTGTGGACGACATAAGAGCTTTTTGAACCATTCTTTGAGACGTCATTGTAGTCTTCCAACAACGTAGCCTGTGGGATCATGCAGGGACTGAAGCCCCTCCCATAAGTTAAAGTGGTGTACTTTGATAGTATTAGGAGGTAGATCCACAATCAAGCTGTTAGCATACCAGCATTACATTACAAAAACACTGTGTACATTAGTTTTGTTTCCCAAACTCACATTTATCAAACGGTGCTATGATAAGGAAGGATACTAAAATTTTACAATGAAATATGTGGAGAGACACTTGGTATTGATAGATGGAATATAAACTCTTAATTTAATTCTCCTCCCCTTTTCTTAAACTGATTATGAAATACACTTTTCTTTCCATGATTTCTTCCGCCTCCAAAAGACAAAATTGTTAAGCAGATTTGCTATTTACTGTATGTCTTAACTGATGATCTTCAAACACAAAAACAGTTAGAATGAAGCATTTCAACCTTGTGATATTGCAGTATATGTTTGAAATGTATTGAAATTCATTTTTAAGATGCAGAAAAAGAAGGAATTATGGAAATGAAGACAAACTGTAATGATTTGATTATCTGAAGGAAAGAGGTTCCATGCAGCAGACATGACGACAATCCTGATTATAGGATTTTTACGGGCACATCTTGATGCAATCATTTTATTACTTCAATCATCTTATGCTTCTGCTACAACATATAAAAAATGACAGAACAATATTATTAAAAGCATAAATTATTATGGTACATGAAATTGTGCAGAGCTAAAAAGATTACTATTTCTGTCTCTTTATCTGCCTTTTTAAATGCAGAAACATATTTACCATTCCTCTGAATACTGCCTGTGTTTTTGCAGTCCAAATTCAACCTTTTCATAAAGTATGTTTGTCATTTAAACAATTTTCTTATTCACAGATACATGCTTAGATCGGGAGGGAATGAAATGAAGCCATACAGTTTTTTTTTTTATACGTTTGTTTTATTACATCAGAAGTGCATATGATTTGCAGCAGTTGGCTTATTGTAATTTGTGGAATCCTGACCCAACTAAACTTTTACTAAAAAAGAAAACAAACAAACATGTATATGTTTTATAGCCATAAAGGTCTTTTTGCCTTAATTTTCCAGGTTGCAAAGCACTTGGTGCCCCTGCAGTTCATTTTTTGTAAAGTATGTCTCCTATAGAGGTTGTTGAAATGGCTTATTCATCAGAGCTATGTTTACAAAAAGAAAATAATTAAGCTGATTTTTAACCTGACAATTTTAACTGTTTTGATTTTTCTTTTTAGTTTTTTTTTAATAAAACAATAAAGTTGTATATTTTAGAGGTCTATTATTTTTTTCAATTGCTTAACTCACTAATAAAAATAGTTTAATTAGATAACAAAACAAACGTAGCTAATACAAATAAACTAATGTTGGCAGTCTAAGGTTTAGTGTTTCAAACCTGCAACGTTTAAGCTTAGTGCGCAAGTATTTGTCCTGGCTTCCTCTCTGTTAACTGAACCGTACTGTAATGAACCACAGGGCCACAGTCTGCTGCTGTGTTGTCCTTTGACAATCCACATACTTGTTCTGTACAAAAGAAAAATATTTTCCAGGCAGTTGTAAACTCTGTCTTTTCCACAAAAGATCTTGTGCTGTTTTAGATCTCTTTCTAGAAAAATTCACCTTCTACAATGAGAGCAGAGAGTAGCTTTGAGATTCGAGAATAATTTCTAACAGTGATCTGCTAATTTCTTAAAGACTTTGTAAAGTATAAATAAATGCATGTTCTTAGTTTGCACACCACATAAATGCTTTAATAATCACCCATTTGAATTTGAATTTTGGAAAACTACTGTCCTTACCGGACCATAGAGTGCGCTTCACTGTAAGCCACGCCCACTTTTATTTATTTATTTAACTGGAAACATCCGTAGATAAGTCGCACTAGGTTATAAGCTGCTGATATCTGTTGAATTGTCTCGCACCAAACCTGTAGGGGTAAATCTACATATGACTCCTGGAGTAGGGAAGAAGGAGAATGCTAGTAGAAGAAGGAGAGCTTCTACTGAAGGATGTGGCTTCTCCAGCTCTTTATTTCAGCTCTGCAGGAGTTGAGCCCAGTCTCTTCGCTTTAAAACGGCAAACAAATGTCAAAATTTGTGAATTCGATGAATACATTCTCCATCATGTGCTTGTTCTAAATAAAAAATTAGCCCCTTATTCTTTAATTTCCAATAAAAGCCACACCTTCTTGTAAGCTGCATGGTTCAAAGCATGGGGGGGAAAAAGTAGCGGCTTACAGTCTGGAAAGTACGGTAGGTCTCAAAATCTCCAACCAAACTAGATAAAGCTGAAAATATGTAGCTAGTAATTTTTAATTTTATTTTTTTGAAAAAGGGGCACGAAAAGTCAGAATGCATAAAAATTACACTGATAAAATGTTTACCAATATAGACATGTTAGACATCCTTGGAAAACTTAGATTCTCCACAATTCAGCCACCTACAGTAGTTAATTTTATGGACACAGCGAGCACCAAAGCATAATTAAAACAGATATAGCAGCATGTTAAAATGTACCATGACAAAGCAGCCACAACAACAAGCATGTCTTTATAACTGCTGTTCAAAAAATTCTTATTATTTTCGAAAATTAAAAAAAAACAAAAAAACTTTGAGTCTTGTTTGAACTGATGCAGCTTGGGCTTCATGCAGCTTGGGTCTTTTACTCACTCAATTTTGTATATATTCACAAACTAGAAGGTGTGAGCTTTTAAATAATGTATCACACAATTAATTTGGGCTTTCAGTTCCTCAGTGATTTACTTTTCCATTTGAGTGAAATAGATGAGAATTTATCAACATGAGGTGGATATTAAGAGGTTAAACAGTATTTATTGAAACCCGAATTTCATTTGAGTGCCACAGTGCATCATAGAAGTTTGGGAAATGTTTTACACATGTGGAACAGTATAGTTATGATGTTTATAATGTCTTAAGAAGAAAATTGGGAAATTTGCTTTAAACGTCCCTCACTAATTGAAAAAAATTAAGTAAATGTCTAAAATGGTTTATTTTATTTGCATAAGTAATATATGGTTTAAAAAGTTTTTTTTTAATCAAAGAGTTAGGGCCTGGTCTTCATAGGGTTTGCATTTCTTAAAACAGGTGCAGACGTTTTGCTCCTCTTCTTGCAATTGACAGAATTCATGCAAGTGAAATGTTGAGCTTAGACACATAGATGTGCTCAAGCAGGATTGTATTGTAACACAAGAACGTTGGAGAAATGCTCAACTTTTTTCCCTGTCGCACAACCCAAGACCATTCAGTGAGGGGTTCCCCAACTAATCATTGATGAAGGGAGACTTGATACACAGTTGAGTCTGTAACTTCTTTCAACATGTAGTTACTGATGAGGCATCAGACCTGCTGCCTCATCTGTCTATGTGTCCAATATTCTCCAATCAAAGTGATCAATATTGGAGACAAGCCACCTGAGAGCATGACTCACAACCGCTCCCGCTGTTAATGCGCACTGCAGGTTGGGCTTCAGGACAGAGGCGATGACAGCCATCTGTCACTGTCATTTGTTGCACCCTGTGTGTCGACCCCATTAGTGCAAAGCACCAAAGTGGCCAAAAGCTGGACGTACAGAGTTGTGAGGAAATGCAAGACCCATGCATCACATAAAAATACTTAAAGAAAACCCCTAAAATCTAATAAGGCTCTTGTGGCCTTAATTTGTATTAATTTTGAAAGTAGGCAGTCAGGAAATGGGAGTAAAGACATAGCAAAGGTTACCAGCCCGAGACTCAAACCTTGTGATGGTTGCACCAAGGACCAAAGCATCTGTACACACTTAACCACCACCGTGCCACCATATTGTGCGTGCATACGTAAGACCCAAGCAAAAGACTATGAGTAGTGCATGAAAGTATTACTTTTTCATACTAATGAAATGTGTGAGAAACTATTTTTCATGCCTCTTAAAAAGTTGTAATGGATTTCTGTTTTTTCTATTTATGCTTGTCCTGCTCCTGTTTAAGTTTTGGCCAAAAGCCCCTGAAATACATTAAATCATAATTTTGAATAGTATTGCTATTGCTGCATTTACTGTTTATTAAACATTTTAGGGACTGCAGAATGATCAGTTTCCACTAAAAAAGGTGCATTAAGTGAGCAGGGGAAATATTGACCTATTTGCAAATAAATGTAAACAATATTTTTTGTCCTTCTTTAGTTGCTCTGTATTCTCTAGGTGTTGAATTCTCTAATTTAGATTTGTAGGAGCAAGAAAAATCAGACAGGCAAGATTCTGTAGATTCAGCTTTCTGCTGCTTTGGAACTTCATACATTAGGTTCCTGAAGTTTCACTAACATTTTAAAATTCACTAAATTCAGCAGATTTTTAATTTCATTTCTCAGTCATAAAATTTCATTTTGTCATTTTTTTTAATAATTTTCTTCATTCGTTATTTCTTATTGATATTGGGGCTAAAACAGTTAATTAAATTAATCGTGATTAATCAATTATTATAACAATCAATAAATAATTTAGAAATCGATTGATCGTTAACTGTGGTACAGAGACTGTAAAATGTGCATTTAGCTGACAGGGCCGCTTAGAGCAGTAATTATACCAAAATAAAAAAAAAAGAAAATATGTAAACATTTTGCATTTAAGATTAAAAAATGTTTTTTGTCAATATGGCCTATCCAGAAGTTCTCAAGTGAAAAAAGTTTTAGTTTCACCTAGTTTAATTTTGTAAAAAATCTTCTTTAAGGAACCTTTGGCTAGCCGATTATTAATCGATTAATCGAAAAAATAACATACAGATTAATCGCTTTACAAAATAATCGTTAGATGCAGCACTAATTGATATGATTTAATTAGTTTATTTTTAATTGCCGGATGGGTGCTGATTTGACTCGTAAAGTGTAAGCTTTCAGAACATAATTTTTCTTTTTCAGTTTCTCAACAAGGCCTTAGAAAGGTGGCAGAAAAAATAATTGTCTCTTAATTTTAACTGATGTTTTTAACTCTTAATTTCATTTTTAATTGAACATATTTAGCTATCTTTTCTGAGCTAGGAAAGCGAATCAGTGTTACCAGAGCTTAGATTAACTTAAAATAAGAGTTTCCATAAAATAAATAATTGAATGAAAATCTAAAGGCGGAGAGGACATCTCTTTATAGACATTACTGCCTGTATTGTAGATCTGTGTGTATACTCTCCTCAAGGGGAGCCCCTTTGTATAAAAGAAATAGCTTCAATTTCTGTTTTCTGCAATTTGTTTGTTGCCAATGACTCTGACCTAATAGGATGAAGACTCAATGTCCTTACATAGTTGAGATTCATCGTTGTTTTGTTGATCTCATAACTCCCTCCTGGCTGCTTGCATAGCTTTCATAAATGGTCCACAAAACAGCAGCTTAATAGATTATGAAATGATATTGTGAAAATGTTATCTCTAACGCTGGAATGTTTGAGAAGTATGATTAGAAAAACTGCAATAAAAAAATAAATAAACCAAGCATGGGTGTACACCTTTAAATAAAAGATTTAGGAAAAGCTGCAGTGTTGAGAAAACTGCTGACCTTTCAGTTTCTTGGTGGTTTCTCTTTAGAGGTGTGAAGTTTTTTTCTGGTTTGCTTTGTGTTTCAGAAACAACCTGTGGTTTTGCTCCTACACACTTTATCAGACAATGAGGGTGATTGGAGTATACTTCCACTTCTGCCTTAGTAAGTATCACCTTTCAGCTTTAAAGAACATATGAAAAACTGAAGTTTATTAGTTTTATAGCTCACTGTTTACCAAGATGGTTTTGAACCCCAACAATAATTGTAATCACTGGCTTCACATTTTAACAAATTGAGCTTTATTTTGTTTGTGGTTTTAAAAGTGCAGTTAATAATAAGTACTAACAATATCATAAAAACGTTTTCATGCTTCATAAGAATCTAACAAATTCTGTAATTTTTTACCATAACAAGAATTAAGCTTTAAGTAACATCCTACCATTATACAGCCTTACTAGCTTAGTTTCTTTTAACATTTTCTCTTGGATAAATCTCTGCGGCTGCCCTTGTTGGATTGTTCCTCAGCTCTTTGTCTGTTTGCATTGTGCATGTCACTGCTCTGTTTATCATTGTTTTATTATTTATCAATAGCCACGATTAGCCTATTTTTTCTTCCTGTCTCTTCAGCTTTTCCCAGTCTTTTGGGAAAAACTCATCCTGGATTTTATTTCTTGAGGAGGAAACAAATGTGAAGATGGTTACGCTTCTTCAAGCTCTGGCAAAATTTCACAAGAGTAAGGTGAGCAAAGTCATTCTGTTGTTTAAAACTCTCACTTGATTATCACGCTTTATACAATTATTCATGCTTAAGGGTATGAATCCCTGGTCATAGCATCACACATTATATATGTTGCTACACGACCTATGATCCTATTAAGCTAAAGAAAATAACATCCTTCTATTTCTATGCAGTGTAATTAGGATATTTTTAGGTAAACATTTTAATGCAATTTAAGGAAAGGCTATTTGTTTAAATTCAAAGTGACAGAAGAAAGAAAAAATATATAGTACTTTTCACAATCAAGTCTTATCCAATGATTGTTATGCAGTCTTTATGAACTTCATAGTCTTATCCAGACCAGGTTGTAGGGGCCACAGTCTCAGCAAAGAAACCCGAACCTCCATTTCCCCAGAAAACTCTTCCAGCTCCTCTTTGGAAGCCTAAAAAAATTTACTCTGCACTGGTAAAAAGCATGCAATTCTGATAACATACGTTGAAACATGAAGTATAGCGAGATTTGCAGGCTCCAGCAGATTTCCCCCAAGTATTTTGGTTGTACAGAGCTCCATCCATCTCCCTGTTAACTGTTCCCAGTATGTGTCCATTTGCTGTAAAAAGCATCTTCTCAGCACATTGCTTCCACCGCCATGTTTTATCCAGGGGACCATGTGTTCCGGATTGTTATGCTGCACAAATAATAGTTGGGTGGAAAGATTCTTTCTCTTTAGTGTGGATATCTGCAGCTCTCTGGCTGGAGCTCTGATTTATGTTTTCTTTGCTTCCCCTGTCTAACATGACAGCAAATAAGAAATTATGTAGTATTGGTGTGATTATAGTTTCCAATTCCCTTTTTTTTTTCAGCATCAATCTTAGAATTAAAGGTGTAATACCTAGTAGAAGCCATTTCTTTTTCTTAATTTTTTTTCCAGATGATACAGTAAATACTGAATTTATGCTGGGATAACTGATAAACTGTAACTGTAATTAAATATGTATGTTTTCCATTCACAATGTTTTTTGTTTTTTTTGGAGAAACCTAACCTAATTCAAAATCTGGGACTCGTTTGATCTGTACCGTTTACAGTTACTATCTTTCATTTTTGTTGTCAGTTTTTAAGACTGAATCGAGAGCATAAATTATGTACTAATTGCACTTTGATGTAAAGCCAGCAGGATTTAATAACTACTCATTTCCCTCAGCAAATGCAGAGGTTAGCATGGCTCCGTTCCTTCACTGTCTTGTATAAAACCAGCATGGTGTTTTACTTCCAAGGAAAACATGGCTTTAAATATTGTATGCATATTAACAGCTTCCTCCTAAGGAGGAGGGTAGGACGATGTACAACATCCTGACGACTTGATTCATTACAACATGCCCTGAAGCTAAAATATTCTCTCTCAAGTGCTACCAGTTTATTGTGGTCAGTGTCAGTTTGAGCTGAGGAAGGCAGACCCAAGTTTTCATCTCAGAATATTTAGGGGGGTGACTCACTCTAACAGGAAAAGAACAAGCTTCTGCTTTTTGCTTTGAAACAAGTATTTAACAGCAATGAATTGTCTCTCTCTCTCTATCTCTGAACAGCTATAATATTGCTATTGGATTATTTTGCTAACTATTCTGATTGATAGAAAAATATTACAGTGCTCATTATTTGTTGGGAAAAACATGCCAAAATGCATTTTACTTTATCTGATAGTTGTTAGTTGAAATTATTTAAAAAGCACAGGTGATGATGTACAAAAAAATTGACTGCACTTATCTTAGTTATAAGGCTTATTTCTATATAAGCAGGAAAAGTGAGCAGCCTTCTCTTAGGACACTGTTTCCAAGAATATAACATCTATTATAGTAAAATAAAACAGATTTTTAGACAACATTAATGTGAGAGCCTTAGTTGAGATGACTACAATATCTCCAAAGTCTTCCAACAAGCACCAGGGTGGCCTTTTTCTTAACGTTAGGATTAGAATGGTTTTCAAACCAGTACAGAGCTTCTGGGAGATAGAATGAATGGGTCTTTACAAAGAGTAAAGCATAATTTTCCGGATAGACACTAAAGTGACACTAAACTTTTACTATATTATAAATAACTTTTGTTATTTGTAAAGACTAATGCAAACACTTTGGTCTGACAAATCCTCCTCCTGAATATTTGACTTATTTTGAAGGTCCTTTGTCAGGAGAAAAAAAAGTATTGAATGCTTGTAATAGTCTTGAAGTGTGCCATCATTTTAATTTACTGTACTGTATACTGTGAGGTTGATTGATATCCTAGTAAGTGGACTTGCTCATAATTTAGGGTGTAAACATTCATCACTATAACAAAAATGCAATGCAGAGGAGTCATCTCTAAAGAAGCATCTGAATGGGTGTGCGTTTTTATCTTCAAATGTGTTGAAGCAATGTGTCACAATTTTTAAGTAAAATAAATAAAAAAATCCCAGGTCACAACTCCGACTTTTTAAGAACTGACTGCTGCAGTGATTCAGTTTTTATCCTATATGAAAGCCATATATTATCAGTTCTACATAATCAGAAAAAAAAAAACAAAACATAGTTATGTGTTGATTTGCCTCAGTAATTATATCTAATTGCAAAAGTAAAGAAGAAGACAGTTCAGCATGTTTGAATTTTGATTTCTTGTTTATGAGCAGCCAAATCAATTCTATTGTATGATGAAATATACTGAAAGTCAGATAAAGAATAGAGATGCACTGATCCTATACCTGGACCATTGGCTCAATACTGACTAACTAGCTGGATCGAAAATCAGTGGTTTGATATTAATTAATATCAAATGAAGCTCCAATCCAGTACACTTTACATTTAACTGTATTTTTTCTTGTTTTTGCTCTTATTTATTAATAAATAATATAAAGTACATTTTTATCTGTGTTGATTTTTAACTTTTTTTTTTTTTTTTTTGCACTGTTTATATCAAGTCTAAAGCCTTCACTCGAATGGGAAGACATGTTTGTTCTTTCGTTCGTTCTTTCATTCAGCCGTTGAATAGGATTGGTATGGGATATCAGCCGATATGCTCAGCCTATTTGTCTGTATCCATACCCAGACTGGCCATAGGGAGAACCGGGAGTATTCCCGTAGCGCCGGCCTGGGATTGGCCTGCTGACTTGCATCTCTCTCTTTTTTTTTGTTTCTTTCAAAGTCTGCCGGTGCAGAGGCCAGATTAGAGAGGCAGGCCAGGCCACATAGACCAGTAGCATGTGAGGAGGGAAAGACGATCAACAGTCAGTATCAACCACACAGACAGCAGTGACGTGTGTCTGGTGTCAGTTAGCGAGCTGCAAGTGAGGATAAAAAGCAATGGACTCTGTCTTCGAATATAGTAAAAGGAAGAGGAAAGGCAGCGCAGAAAGGGAGAGACAAAAAAAAAGAAAGGCGGTGGAGGAGATCGCGGCCAAATGCAGAAAAGTAACAAATTTATTCACCCCACCCACACCCACCCTCCCATGGTGCCATTAAGAAAAAAAAAAAAAAGATGCAAACAACATTTTGTTTGTTTTTAAAGTTAAAACACAGTATGATATCCAGAGATTTAGATTATTCTATTAAATGATTGGGTTGTTGAATTTTTCTGTCTGTTGCTGACTTGCAGTTACGTATCACAGCTCAAACATGAAAGTTTGTTATTCCAACCTTGGATATACTGTAGGTTGAGGCTGATCACTATTCCCCGGATGATGTTCTGTCATTGAAGCATGATATGTTATGATATGATATGACAATGTATAGCTCTAACCTTGGCACTACTTATTATGTTAAATCTTTATTATCTTGGTACTATCTCAATTACAGCGGTAAATTAACTATGTATCCAAACTTAGAAATAAGAGTAGGTACTATAGATCAGTGTTTCCCAATCCTTTTTGACTTGTGTTCCTTGTTGGGCAATTTTTTGTACCATGAATCCCCCTCTCAGTCAAAAGTATTTATGATTGTCCAAAATTGGAATATACAATAACTGAAATAAATACTATTTTACTTAATCTTTTAATTTGAGAATTTCAGTTTTATAATTTTATCCTTTCTATCTTAAATAAGAAAAAAAAAACATAAATATGTTGCCTGATAGTTAGTAAGGAATCGAAATGGGTACAGCATAAAATAATACTATAAACCTGCATTCATAAAACTGGAGCTCCTCTGAGTAACTCCATTATAATCACATTTAAACTTGATGAATTGGGAACAAAATGCAGAACAAAAATTATAATCAGACAGAATTAATTAGTTTCACTTTGTTTTCATGGAAACAGCTGAGCTTGTTTTGATGAGCTCTGATAGCTTAATGTGAAAAACAGCTGATACCAGGCTGTTCTCTCCATCCGGTCTGTTCCTCTGCTTGGTTTTGATGTGGGTCCAAGCTGAAGGTGAACTCAAACATATCACTAAAACATTATTTTTGATTGATAAAAGCTTTTTTAATTTTCCAGTTGGGTCCCCAGAAGGCAAAACAGATCCCAGCCCTGTTTTATTTTACTACCTAAGAAATCAGTCATGTCAGTGGCCATGTTGGCCTGGTGACATCACTGACGCTTGGCATGAAAAAATCTCCCAGTCCAACCCTGTTTGTATCAGATTGGAACTTAGACCAAAAGTATCCAAAGGTGATTTGAGTTTTTATCCTGTTTAGTATACATGTTGTTCTTTTTTCTACTATTTGTACTGTATATAATATAACTGTTGATCAATCCTATATATTGGCTTCAGAGATCAAAGAAATCCACTCCACTTTCTGTAGATATTTGTGAGTTTCCACACACAAGTAGCTCAAACAAAAAATTGTTCACATGTTTCTTCCTCAACTATTTATTTTTATGACTTTGCTGTGAAATGTAATGACATTTTGCTTGACAACTAATAATAAATAAAATTCTCCAAGGTTGACTACTTATATGTTAACGAGCTATGTCATAATGTTTTTTGGTTTACAGTATCTTCTTTAGGAAACAGAAAGACATAGTTTCTTATGGGACATAGTTATCCAGAAATGGATTGTGTTCTAAAGGTAATTTTTCCTTCAGAAATGTCAACTATTACACTCAGTAACTTAGCAGCTTCAGTATCTGGTATCTTTTCAACTTTGTTCCCTCATAAAATCGGATTATTTCCCTTGCGAGGAGCAAACCTCCTCACTGGAAATAATTTCAAAGATTTTCTGACAAGTGCGGCGAATGCTGCTTAATTAGAGCAGAAGTCAGAATGTCTCTTTGAAATTTCTTAGAATGTTTTTGGGGTAAAAATAAAAACGGCTGTATTTTATTTTATTTTTTTACGTGCGCTAACTTAATGAAATGTGTCCCTCAAATTTTATTACCAGGAGTGGTTTCTCGGCAAGCCTCTCCATGATGAGGAATCGACCATTATCCATCACTATGCCTTTGCAGAGAATCCCTCAGTCTTTAAATATCCAGACTTTGCTGCTGCTTGGGCTTTAAGCATGCCCCTGGTTGTTCGGTGAGTAGACAATTTCTCAGATTTTACATCAAACAGGAATCAATAGACGGCATTCTCTACGGTGTGTGTTATATTTTAAGATGTGTCACTTGGATTATTTTTTTCGCTAGGCTTGCAAACAAAGTGAGAAATGAGCCACTGAAATCAGACTTCACTATTGACCTAAAGCATGAGGTAAGATATACTAGTCAAGAAAAGCGTGGAAGACATCTAACCTTGAAGTAAATGTCATTATGTTGGAGTATTGTCACAGTGCAGCTTTGAGGCCCTTTTTCATAACTGAAATTCAGACAGAGAGGCTTCGTGGGAGTCTGTGGAGTAAACATGGCATTAGCCTTATAAGGCAAAGTCTGTTGACTGTGGTTCTGCTTCAGTTGGCATGAGTTCCTTCCTGTAGAAATAAATACAATTTACTGTGCTTTTCTGTGGCAAAAGACATATAAAATAAGATAAAATATATAAAAGATGGAGAACAATGCTAGTACTTTTTCCTTTTAAATAAAAGGTTATTTATATATTATATATAATGTGCGATGCATGCGTTAGTTTTTAATGTCATTGTAGTTTTATTTTCTCTTTGTTTTTGTTTACCGATCATCTTTGCATAGATATCAAGCTCAGTCGGATTGCATTAAGAGCAATAATACATGTTGACCAGTTTTCAATTTCTTGCCAAAAATATAGCTCTAATCTTCCAGGACATAAAAATAATTTGATCTGAATTATTCCTTTGTAACCCTGGATCAGAGTTCAGGACCATTGTCCTGATGGAAAGTGAACTTCAGTCACAGTCGACACAGAAAAAATAATGCAACCGTTTTTTGCATTTACTTAATCATATTTATTAAATTAACACAATTGTTTTATGTCCTACCCTGCTAACATGAAACAATTTTATTAAAGTATCGAAATATGAATAACTAAATGTCAAAAACGGTTGCAGTATTTTTTTTCAGTGTGACAGCCCTTAACAGTTTGATTTTGGCCAGGTTTGTGTTGGATTCAGCTCCGTCCATCTTTTAAAAGTATGTGGCCACTACAAGCCTTTTGCTCAGGGGGTTTGCTCAGGGTGTTTTTTCCACCCTGTGGTATTTTTCAATTACATAATCTGCAAAGGGGAATTTTTTTTTTGTTTTCTTTTAACGTTTCAATAATTTCTGCAACCTTCTGCATTTCCTGGCAGAGCCCTGTTTTGTGCCCAGCAAATACCCCTCTGGTTGATAGATTCTTCCACCTGAGCGGATGACCTCTGCAGCTCCACCTGAGTTATCAGTGCTTTTCTAATTGTCACCTTCCCAGGCAATGTCTTGTTAGATTTGCTGTTAAGTAAAACTCTTTCCATTTACTGATTCTTGGTGAAACATTGTTCATCTATAAATAACCTTACTGTGCTTTAAACTGCTTCACAGCTTTATCCATTAACTGTGTTCTCTGGTCCTTAAGATGATTACTTATGTTCTTTTATAAAGAGATGAAAGACAGGACTTCTGAAGAATTTGATTTCTGTGTCAAAGTAAAGGGGATTTAATGCACGCTTGTCCCGAGTGGGGTCGCGAGGGGTGCTGGGGCCTATGTTTGGGCAAGACACACAGGACAAACAACCATTCATGCACAAACTCACACCTAAGGACAATTTAGAGAAGCCAATCAACCTAACAGTCATGTTTTTGTTTTTTTTTGGACTGTGGGAGGAAGCCGGAGTAACCGGAGAGATGCTCAGGGAGAACATGCAAACTCCATGCAGAAAGACCCCGGGCCGGGAATCCAACCCAGAACCTTCTTGCTGCAAGGCAGCAGTGCTACCCACTGCACCACTGAGCAGTGCAAAAAAACTGCAACAAATTTCTTGGAAAAATGCACATGGGAAAATTATATAAAAAAAAAAAAGACATCATAAAATTGTGATACATAAAGATTGGAAATAGTACTGACTAGTACTGGTTTTCTGGGTTGGTTTCCATCAAGTCCTTTTACTGACTGAATTAAATAGACTAGAATAGAACAGAATAGAATAGAATAGTTATTTATCCCTGAGAGGAAATGCCGTTGCTCAACATGAATATACTCACACCTGTAGTCATCCAATGTACTATATAATATGTGGAACCCAGAATTTTGAGAGAAGTTTAAGAATAGAATATAACTTGAAATCCAATTTTTTATGAACATATTAGGTAAGCTCCCTATTTCAAATTTCATTTATGTTTAACCCTTATATTATGTTAAGGGTCAATTTGACCCATTTCAGTTTTTGTGTTGATCAAAGTACTGGTTATCTTTTTTTCTTCTTCATGAAATTTGGTGACTTTTCCTCATCTGGGGTCATGAACATGTATGTAAAATCTGGCCACTCTGATGTGTAGTGGAGTGTCTGTGCAGAGTATGTATACAAATATGATGTTATGGGTCATTTTGACCCGGACACTTTAATGTGGGTAATTAGCCATTCAGGTAAATAAAAATGGCTCTTTGATGTACTTTACTCTTTTCATTTGCCTCTGAGACCCAGACCCAGGTGTGGTAAGGGAGGGAACTTTCTTACACTAGTTCTTGTCACTGCTCTCACGTCATCTATATGAAAAAACTCACCAAAAACTTAGCTCCTTAAGGATTACAGCTGAGTAGTCTTTTTCACAAATTTTGAACTTGGATAGTGATGTAGAGCAAGAGTTTTCTAAGGCAGAGGATATTCCAGAATCAGAAGACGAAGTTGTTTACCCACATTATCAATTCTCCTACGATGAGATGGACTCAGAGGAAGAGTCTTCTATTATCCCCCGAACAGATGAAAGCCCAGGAATGAGGCAATCATCTTCTGCAAGAGTGACGACATCACAACACCAGAGTTGATGCAGACTATCATCAGCTAATTTGATAAAAACTCCTGGTCCTACCAGATTTGCAATCACATGAATTGAAGAGATTCAGTCAGCATTGCTCAGAATGCCCATATCATAATATGGGCAACCTGAGGTGCAAAATCCAGCTATGCATGATATATGCAAGTATACTGTATACTGGAAAGCTATCTGGAGGAAAAGCTTAGAAGAATCAGGGGATGTGTGTGATGCTGCATATGAGTGAAGGGCTGCAAGTCATAACATCACTTGTGACAACCTCTATGTCCTACCTGTTTGGAGAAGAACTTCAGAAAAGGAAGCTGACCATGTTGGGAACAGAAGGTTCTTATCATTAATATAATGCAAGCTGATATATCTCTGAGCACAAGAAAGGACTTGAAGGCACAAATGATCCTGGATTATAACTCAACCAGAGGAGGAGTTGACAATCTGGACAAAGTCGCAGCAATATACAGCTGCCAGGGCAAGACTGCCCGCTACCCAACCAACATAAAGTGGAGACGGGTGAATAGAAGAGGAAAATATCACAGCTCTGTCCCTCCAGAGAGGACAGTAAAACAAGTACATCTTGTGTGAAATGTATGAATTCCATCTGCAAAAAGCAGTTACATTCTTCCCATCATTTGGAGAACTTTAAAATTGTTGAATGTTCAAAATATTAGTAACTAGCGAATTTTAAAGCTAAATTTCAAAAAACAAAATTTGTGAAGAGGGAACATTTCAAACCTAAATAAAGTGTGTGAAATAAAACTGTATGGTTTGTCACTTCACTTAATGTTTAAGTAATCTAAAATAAATTGGTTATTGGTTTAACCTGTTTTCTTGACTATTTTGCTTGTATTTACACAGTGCGGGTCAAAATGACCCGCAACATAATGAATGTAATTTTTTTTCAACATAATATAAGGGTTAAGATAATATATTAAGAATAATTACATTAGATATACAACATACATTACAACATACACGTACATATAAAACAGCATTTTTTAGGTTTACAGTTGAGTTGTTGAGTGAAAGGATCTCCTGAAATGCTCAGTTCTGCTGCACAGAAGAGCTGACTGCTGCTACCACTTCTTTTGTGCTCCTGGTAGCCCTGTGTAGGGTGTCTGCCATTGTTGGAACAGGCCTTCAATATGTTCAATACCTCTCTACTGCAGATCCTAAAGGCTGAAACCTGCTGCTCGCCAAAGAGCAGACCCTTTTAACCTGCTTTTCTAGCTGCTTAGAGTTCTTGTCTGTGAAGCTGCCTCTCCAACACACTGCCACTTAAAAATAGCAAGCACTATATAGGGTGGTAGAACTCGGTCAACAACTCTTTAAAAATGGAGGAAAAACAGACAGTTTTACCACTTTCTGTCAAGGGTTTCTTTGTTGAAGGACCAGTCCAGCCTTTCCACCAGGTAGTTAAATGTGTGCCCCCGATTGATGCCCTCCCTCTGAATTAAGACTGGCTGATCTTTGGTTTTGGCCATGTTTAGGTTAACTCAGCATGTGTTGCATTATTTTCTATGAAAACTCAAGACGTTGCTGTACTCCTTTTCCTAATCTCACCAGATATAAGCTACAGTACTTGTTTCCCTGGAGTATCTCTGCATGCGAAAGACACTCTGTGTGGTACTTGAAACTCAGGGTTTGAAGTCGGCACCAAAGCTGTTCCTGAAACAACTCCCCTTCCTGACATACTGAGGCTGATCTGTAAGGTAGTTGGTTACCATACCCAATCAGTTTCTCTCAGCATGAGGGGTTGGATCTTATTTAAAGAACTTCAGAAGTCAAACAGGGTGACTCTCACCTGGCATATTGTTTCCTCCAGACAGATGTAAACGTGGTGATGCATTCAGGACAACAATCTCCACTCCAGTGGGCTCCTATAAGCAAACAGGAGTGAATCCATTGCATGAATGACCTCTGACCTTCAGAGTGAAAGATCCAGACCCTGGGGTGTTCATAATATGTAATGTTAAGGTCACTGGTCTGTAATTGTTTAGCTCAGCTGGGTGCCTGACCTTAGCCAGCAGTTCAAGGCAAGATGTCGTCCACTGAACTATGCCTGTTTAAAGACTCCTGTTGTCAAAAATCAGTTGATAAAAGAAAGATGAACTAAATGATCAAAGCTTTAGAAATAATGCTTAACTGAGTCTTACACCTTAGTTTCACCTTTTTGTACCTGAAATCCAAGAACATATAGCTAATTGGTTACCTTACTTTAGTCTATCTAGTTTTATTTTTAGGGATTTTATAAACTTAATATTATTTGGCTATTTTCTTTTTTCTGTTTGTAGTCGATCTTTTTCTATTTTTGCTATGATGCTTTTCTTTTGACATTTAGCTATTTTGCTTTTAAAGTTGCTTGAGCGCTAGAGCTCTGTATTGCCTGCAAAACCCTACACAATGTCACATTGTTTTGTTTATAACTAATCATCAATACACCATGTCTTTAGCCCATTTGATTTTTGATTTTTTCTTTTTTTTTTATAGATCGCTTTGTATATCTGGGACAATGGGAAGGGACCCCATCTGACTGCTGTGCCTGAGTTCTGCACAGAGCTAGAGGGCTCTCCTCATACTCAGCAATGTGCAACCACTTTAAGCAAAGACCTTCCACTGTGTGTGAGTATTTGCTCTGTGTCCACATTAGTTCAAGTGTCCTAAAATCCCCGAAAACATTGAAATATTGAATTACCACCAAACATCATGAGCAGGGTACTGTTTTTTTTTACTGGTGGACATTGGATGGTTCAGCCTTGCTTAAGTATGCCGTTCTGCAGAACACAATGCATTAGCTGCACCAGAAAGAAGTCTTGATTTTGTTTCGCTAAATTAGATTTAGTTGTTCGCCAAGATTGAAGTCATTCCCTGTTGCTAAGCAACTTCCGCTTATATTATTTTCTGGCATTTTTTTCCTGTTATTTTCTTTTATCCAAACCTTTTAAGTTGTGCTTTTTGCTATCACTTAATTTTGCTTTGTAATACGCCTTCAGAAAAACTCTCTAGCATGTCTTAATTACTTAAATTACAGGACATAAAATGTTTTAATTAAAACTAGAGATAATTCTAAGGGGCTTATATTTCCCTTCCCTTGTGTTCTCCAAAGCAACTGTATAATTGTGACAATTGGTTAGCATTAAGCAGTTATACTATGCAACATTTTGCAGTTTTTGCTATTCTAATTTAATAAAAATCAACATTGATCTTTTTAGGAGGAGAAAATTAGCATTTTATTTCTATTTCGAGGTCCTAACACAGATGCACTTTTAGAGGTCAGAGATTACCTAAATTGTTATTTTACAAAATCAGTTAAATTTTCTCAAATACCTACACCTATATTAGGCATGCTTTTGGGTTTCTTGCATCAATGCAAATTAGCAGGTCTCTAGTGTAAGTGCATCTGGTTTAAGAGTCAGCAAGTGACTTTATCTCTGTTTTTTATATGTGTTAGGGTATGCAAACTACTTCACTTTCTTTTTTTAAAGAAATCTGGAAACCCATCAGTAAAATTAGAGAGTAAAATTTTAATGTTTCTGTAAAGGAAATAACATTTCTTTTATATAATTAGCTAAACATATAAAATTGACATTGCTGAAAAATCCTCAAACCCTATAAAACTGCCAGTAATGCTGGGAAGCAGTGGAAGTTTTGTCTGGATGTTTATATGGCTCCAGATTTATTGACTGACAAGGTGAGATATATTTGGGCTGCCAGAACAGCAGTAAAAGATGTCCCTATTCAATTTTTTTCTTCCCTCCCTCTGAGACAATTTTCACTGGGAAAAAGAAAATCTAATCTTAATGTTCTTTAGTATTCAAATCACATGTCCAGACTCATACAGAACTGTTGCAATTTTTGGTCTTGAGTTTGGTTTGTTTGTAACCTTTCTTTTTTAAAAGCATCACCATCCTCATAAAGGGAATGTTTTCTAAGAGAAAACACCACGACAGCACTATTGGGGCATAAACAGAGGTCACAGATTTAATAACTATTCAGGGAAATGTTGCCGCTTGTTACAGAAGGCGATGCTGGATTTGCAGCTCTTTTTCTTAAAATAGGTGCGTGGTAAATTGCAGAGTGCATTTATATCAGCATCTGGCTTCGCTGTCAGCAAAAATTTTCAAGATTCTTCAGGGGCAGATTTTCCAAGATGAACACTTTCAAAGAGGGAATGGATGTAAAGCACTTTTATTTTATTTATTTTTTTGGCAATAACACATAAGACCCTGCATGCTACCTCCCAATAGGCCTGACAATTCACGATCGACTAGTGGTAATATTCCTATTATAAATTCTTGTTTTTTAAAACTCTTTGATCTAATATTCCAATAAGGACTTGGTTTGCAAATAAGAGTGAGAAGAAAAGACATTGTAAGGATAAGAGGTCTTTGATCAACAAATTTTCACCTTCGAACTTTGTGCTGTTACATTCAAAGAATTTTTATTTTTACTTTTTGTTTTTCAACAAAAACACTTATGTGCATTGTCATCTTCTTTAAATGTACTCTTAAAATAGGTGGACAAGAAATCAACTCTTTCAGTGAAAGCTTGAATGAGCTGGAATGTACTTGATAGACACACACAGATAGTCTCACCAGCTTTGTGGGGCATTTTCATTGGCTTCTATAAATTTCTACAGCCTAATCGTGACCCTTACCCTAAACCTAACCATTATGTAAAATCTACCTGTTAAATGTTAGTGATTTTTCCTCATTTAAAAACGTGCATAATGTAAAATGTCATAATGTGGCAAGGTGAGACCCTGGAGATGTATAAAATGATTCTTTCACGGTTATTCTAGTCTGACTTCCTGATAAAGGGAGATATGTAGATGGTAAGCCACGCCTTTGTATCTGTGCAGCCTATCTGGTCTGAGTAAAATAAAAATTCTGTTAAAATTTCGCCTGACCCTTTGTTTTCATAGCTGCTTTATTTTTTATATATGTATATACATGTATTTATATGTGTATATATCTATATATATTTTATATATATAGTATAAATACTATATATATATATATATATATATATATATATATATATATATATATATATATATATATATATATATATATATATATATATATATATATATACATATATGTTGATCTGCCTCAATCCGATGAAAAGCCAGTATTAAAAGCAATGATTGTAATATAGAATAAATAAAAAAAAAAAACAACAACAAATAGAACCTTTTTGAAAAGTTAATAAGATCCCAGACTATACTTAATATATTTAACTTGCACTGTTTCACCATGTCCAGGACTTCCATGTCTGTACTAACCTTCCAATAATTTGAAAAATTTAGAAAAGTATAATCTGTGTGAGAAGACAAATCATGATTCTCTATCGTTAAATAGGATTTTCTCCTCTGCTTTGCCGTCCTTTCTAGCACATCTGCACGGTGCATACTTTACATTTTTAGAGAATTTCTCTTTTTTTTTTTTATACCTTTCATATCTCTGAACATCCACCCTCAGTTTTTAGTTGGCCTAGTGAGATTGTTGTGTTCGCAGCTAGAGCAGCAGCATGACTCGATGCACAAAGCCACCTAGTCACTACTTCGATAATTTACTTGGAGCGCCGCCAGCATGGTGTAGGTGTGATGAGGTTGCAGCTGGTAACAAGCTAGCATGAAGAGTACCACTTCATTTTTTTTTTTTTTTAACTGTGTGGGTTGGATGGCATGGATAATCTGCCACTGCTGCTACTGTACCAGGCTCCTCCACACCATAGTTCAGCGTTTTCCTCTGAAAACTGAAATAGCCCAGTCTCACCAAAAAAGTTTTTGTGCATGTTTAATCCAGTTGGGGAACTTTTGGACTGTTTTACTCATTTTTGGCAGGTCACAGCCATTTTGTGGCACCCAAAAGGCATCTCTAAAACATTAAAAGTCCTCCCCCTTAAGATCTCTTTCAAAAAACAAATAACACTTATCATACATTTTTAATCCTCTGTGAATGGAGTCTTAGAAAGTAATATGCTTTACATTTTTTTGATTTATTTTTTTCATTGGAATTTTAATAAAGGAAATAATAGCCTTTCACGATTATTAGTATAGAATGTTTTAAACCTACTTTGAGAAATAAATTGTTGAAAAACGTCCTCATGTGAACTCTACCAGCAGTCATTTGAGTTTCTCTAAATTAAAAGAGAGAAAAAAAAAAAAACATAAGGCATTTTAAAGGATCCTTATTGGATCTGACAAAACATCCAGATTAAATTTATTCCCATCGATCTTTTTCCTGGACATTAAAGATTGACTGAAACCTGAAATAAATTATGTTTTCTATATTGTTCCTCCTACATGACTGGCTTTTCTTCTGTTTCTTTTTTTTATGCTTCTCTTTTTTTAATCTTATGTAGGGGAAGCCTGTAAATAAAGAAGACATATTTGTTGCTGTGAAAACCTGCAGAAAGTTTCACAGTGAAAGAGGTGAGTCACGTCTCTACTCTGTCAAGAAAGCCCCTTAATTTTCCTGCAAGTATTGCACATTTATGCCCCGCTGTTTGGATAATGGATTTGTTCTACCGATGACATGTGGAACTGTATGAGTGCCTTTTCTTATTATACTAAAATCTTTCACTAAATTACTCTACCATCATGTCTGAAAGGATTTATTGGTGCTGAAGTTAAAAAAACAACAGAAAAAACGGTGTGGAGTACTTAATGCTGTGCTTCACCCAAGGCTGGAAAAGCACACTCATCCAACAGTAACTCTTATTGGCACTCTCTGGCCACTATTAAGCTTTTCACAGTTACTCTTGTGCTCTTTTAACCTGATGAAAATGGAGTAGGTTAAGTCAATCGAGCAAATGGCAAATTAATTACAGTGGGATCAGACAAATTGTGTGTGATATTTTAAAGGAGTGTCTGGAATGTAATTTTTCTAATTGTTTTAATTACTGTTTCCTCTCCTGACCTGCTATTGTTATGTTCATATGTTGGCAGAATGGAAACGATTAGGTACATAATGACAAAGATTAGTTAAGACGTACAAAGCAAACACCGCGGAAATGTTTTGTAATTCATTTACAAGTTCATGTGGTTTAAATAAACATCATCCTCTTTACCTGCAGAAGGCAGCAATATAGCGTACTTGGGGAATATCTATTGCAGCAACAGTAAACATCCTAAAACACAGTGAAGCTGCAAAAAGTAATAAAGCTGGGTGGCTTGCAGATGCATCATAATACCTGGATCAGTCAATAAAGACTCTAAAATGAAGCTCTGGCCCAAACAGATAAGCTTAGATTTAAAATGAATGTTATTGTTATTGTGTGCATTCTTTATTCAGAATAGAAGCCTGTACAGGGGATATTATAAAATTAAAACTTTACCTAAGAGTGAATGTGACAGTTGTTATTAACAGCTAAAGTAGTCTTCGGTCTATTGCCTCATTAATTTAGGAAACAGTCATTGTTTTAGCAATTGAATGAGAACATTTAGGAGTCATGCTTGCTCTCCTTTGCCAGCTGGCACTCCCAGTAGGACTAAATGTGAAATTTTCATTTGTAAAGAGACAATGTTCTCTGTCATTAAATACAGAGAAATATATCAATACCTCCATGCATTTCATTTAGTCTATCTTACAGTTTATATAAACATGCAATGGTTATTGTTTGTAAAATGTATGAAATTGAACACTGTCTTGAATACAAAATCTGTAGAGTAAAGCATCGACCATTTGAGCAACTGGAACATCATGATTTGGGACTTTGGAGCTAACATTTCATTTTTTTTTTTTTTTTTTTTTTTTTTACAATTTTCATGTTGTTCTAATTGATTAATTAAGTTCAACCAGTCAAGTTAGAACTTATTTGTTTTTGAAATATAGAACATGAGCACATTAATAATTCCAGTCATTTTCAAAATCTGCTTAATATGCTGATTACCAATAGAGAAAGAGTTAGTTTTTTTATATATGACAATTGTAAATTGCACCATTATGCAATAGAGGACAGAAAGCCAAAGGAAGCGTTTGCTATTAAAGTACAGAACATGATGAATGGTTAAGACAGACTCTGTATGATAGTTTGACTTTTAAAGTTCAAGTGGATCTTTATTTATGTGACAGTGGGGTCAAGGTGGGTGCTTCCTAGAGGGGCAGGTGATTGCTGTCCTAGGCAGAACAGTGATTGCCACTTGTTTTCCATTCAGACAGGGTTTGATATTTAAAGATTTCTCAGAAATTAATAAATCAAGCAAAATGGGCATGATTTTGTTGAAGGAATACGATTTTTAACATAGCTAAAAGCTCTAATAAGCTGATTCTGCTTGATATAGACCCTTTAAGCCTTAGATAACATCAGACAGGGAGCCCAAACATTTATCTTGCTGTACATGTAAATGGAAACATCGGTTTCAAATGTAATGAAAAGATTTAAAGTTATTACCATTTAAAAAAATATCCAATCAAACAACACTGTGTATTTGCATCCTTTTTAAATAACATGTTTTTTTTTTCCTGGCATTTGATATTTCTAAATTAAGAAGTACAGAAATATAGGATTGTCCTCCTTTTCATCTCAAATGAAATAATAATTAGGTCAGCTCTACTTTCTGCATAATCAGAGACCAGAGAGTATTTAGTGAATACTGTATTGATTTTTCTTGCCCTTTGCTCCAGTTCCAGTGATAAAGAAGACTTGGGAAAAGGATGCCTTATTTTTAGAGTACTACAGCGACCATGCCGAGGCTTCCATACCAACCATTAATTTAGGAGTGCCAAACACTGAGAGAGGTGAGTTTTCCTTTTTTCAAGCCTCAACACCCTCAGCCTCTCAACAGTAGATGCAGTTAGTGGCCTTGGCTGATGCTGTCAGCTGTGCTGCACATGTTGGTAAATGAAAAATGATCCGGCAAACTGAGGTTGAAAGTTTCACAGTCTGAGACCTTGTGAAGGGTACGTAATTCATACCAAATACTGGAGGAAAATTGGGAGTAAATGAAGTGTCAGCAGGGAATTTCTCCACAGATTGTTTCTAAAATGATGTTTATGTTACCTCTGAAAATGAAACAAATAAGAAGTTATTGCGCTAGCCTTTTTTCATTCAAGATTAGCTTTTTATGAATCACTTTATGCCTATTTTGTCATCTTCTTGAGATATTTGCAGGGAACGCATTGTTAGTTGGTGTTAAATGCATTTGTGGTCCCTTTTTGTTTTTGAATGTTTGGAGGTTCTTTCTGATAGCAGTAAATATTGTTGCATACAGGCTGAAAACACAAACTCTGACATTATTTATCATTTTGAATAGAGGCTCTTTTGGTTATTCAGAACTATATATAACCATATAGCTTTAATATTGGTGTGAAAGATAGTTATATTTTAAATGTAAATTTGATTGATTTTACCAAGCCCTATGATTCCTTGAGTTGTTGCTAAATCCCTCTTATTAAGCTGTTATTCACTAAATGCCTATATTCCTGCCACTACCTCAAAAGGCCTAAAAACTCTACAACATTGTAAGGACACTGGTTATATGCGAAATTCTATATATATTTTTTTCTTTTGCAAAAAATCTAGCGGCCCACAAACTCAAATTAAATTCTGCTTCTTCTATAGTATGTTGGTGTAGATTCTCAGTCATCCAGGTCATAGTCATTCCAGAAAAAAAAAAGTTAAAAACAAACCACTGGACATTGTTTTCCAAGTTTGAACATGTTTTGTTTTCCATCCAGGAAGCTTTCTCAATTCAAAATGTCTGCAGTAGCGTTGAGCTCCAGGCTTTATAAAATTGCCTAACAAAAGTCTTGTTATGGCTTAGAAAACACACAAATTGAACCGAAAACAGGTCCACCCCTTATTAATGGACGGTCAGCACAGGCACAATGTTTTATAGTAATGATTTTGTATTTTATAGTAATGATTTTGTATAGTAATAAATTTGATTCATGGTTTTTCAAAAAGTACAACCCAGATATCAGAAAGATAAACCCAGAGAAACATATTACAGCTAAGCTTCTACAGCTTCAGGCTGCACCTGGTAACAAAGCCCAACAGAGGCTCCCCTTGGAAGCACGTGATGGAAGAGTGGGAGAAAGAAATATACCCTGGGACAGAACCTTTGTAGATATGCTAAGCAGTAATTTACTATGGTACTCTCAGCCTTTCCTTGTGTAAACCTTTGTATAAGCTTTAGCCTGTAGCAGGTTTCGGTGTGTGACTCATGTTATTTCTAAATGAAGATGTCAGAAAGTCTATTTTCTTCCATGTCTGCCATTCTGACATGATACCCTTTCTATTTTATTCTCAAGTCTTCCCCATAATAACAAAATTAGGATTTATTTTAACATTAAATTAAGACACACAGAGGAGCACACTCTGTAGTCTATTACCTAATAAGTAATATTTTAAAAATATAACAAATCTGTCATAAAGCCGGCACAAGCTTTCTGCCTCAGTGCCTCCATGCTTGCTGGAGGCTGCAGCCAAACTTACTCTACAGTGAGATTGCCGCTGGCACAAGAATTGCTCCATAGACCTCTGATTCATGTTGCAACTTAATGGGATGTGCAATGGCTGTAGACATTTTCAGACCTCAATGGAATGGGTAAAGGTTGCTAAAAAAAGGATGCTTCTTTCATGCCTGGGCTTCTTCCTTGAGGCAGCTTACTCTCCTAACAAGATTTTGCTTTACAACCTGTTTACAGACACTAAAGGAGGTGGACTGCCATTGGCTACTTGTTGGTAAATGTGGACTTGTAGTTCTTAGGTTTTCTGGTGTAAATGTCCAGCATCTCTTATGTCAAACTTTTATCAGCACTGATTTTTGTTGATTTAAACTCCTAAACTTTAAATTATTTATCTTCACTGATAAAGGCAGCTTTCACACTAGTATATCCTTTTTTTGTACTTGGAATGTCAAACCTTAGATTTCCAGATTTTTCATATATATTTTATGACAGATTCTTGCATTAATGAAAAAGTAAAATATGCTTAATTTCCTTTTCACACAGTTCTGAGTCAAAAGGCTTTATAGCTTTGCTTTTGATAGCTTTGCTTTAGCAGATGAAAATGAATAAATGCTCCATTGTTTTTCCCCCTTAAACACTTTTAAATCCTACAGTAAGGCTGTAATTCATTTCACCTCTAAGTGTGATTTTCTTCTCAGGAAAAATCCTCACCTCCTTTCTCCCAGTACCTAATGTCAGTATTTCCTAAAGGTAGGGTTATGCAAGTCTTTGTTAAAGATCAAGCTGAGGAAAGTGTGTCCTTCTCTGTGTTTTGTAGTTTTTTGGAAGGCAACAACTCTGTTCTGGCAGGAGTCCACATCCCATCATCAAAGACTGGTTTGGTCAGATGCCAAATACTAAATCTGCTGTCTGAGCATCCTGTTAAAACTAAAAATCAATTTTACATCTTAGAAGATAAACAATCCATTTGAATTATAGAGTGATTTTAGATAGGACTCCCAAACAAAACATATACTCTCTTTAAAATATATATTAAAGGGGGGGGGGGGGGGGGGGGGGGGTTCTGTCAAGACTGAAGGACAGTTATCCTACATTTAGTTACCGGTAAGCCCCAATAGGAAGCTACAAAGCATGTACTAAATTGGTATAATGACGTCTCACTGTTAGCCTGATGCTTGTTTCTTACGGTCCTTTTTTAATTGCATCTTATTTTGTGTGGAAATGTCTTGCCATTTCCTTTTTTTCTTCTAATCATCCAAAATGCTGCCAGATAATGTATTTAAAAACGATGGAAATGTTTTCAATGTTTTATTTTCATAGTGCCATCAGCCACCACAAAATAATGACTTCAACAATGACAGTAGGTAAATCTAACCGGCTTGAAGTTGTACTTTTCATAAATCAGTGTTGAGATCTATCAGAATTAAGATAAGACAATAATTTTCCTTCCCGGTGAGCTACAGTATCTTTATTACCCTGAATGATTTTCCTGGTCTCTCTTTCTCAGTGTTCAGAATATATTTGAAATTAACATTAAATGAACAGTGATGTAAAAATCCCTTTTTGCCCTCAAGTAAAGTTCTATTGAAGGAATTTCTGATTAAAAAAGGTTCACTTTATATGATAAAGTGACCAACAGTAAATCATTAGCAGATTTTAAACAAGATTAATTCTCATTTCTCATCTCTACACACTATTTAATAAGGACCAAGTAATAAAACTAAATCAACCTTAATTACACGGATTAGAAATCAGGGAATTACCAAGTCTAATTGGTTTGTTCCAAGGAAAGAGGATTTTATGGTTTATATTTCCATCATATGATCTAAATCTGAGCAAAGAAAGGAAAGTGATTAGAATAAAACTGCTGATTCAAGCCTCATTTTAGCCAGCAACTACTGTGGCAAGAATGCAGTGCTTTTTCTGAGGCCCAATTCGTCACCCCAATTTCCTTTAGTTTTTCTCATGTTTTCCATTTCCAATTTTCAACTCTCAGAGAAATGGCCAGGCCTCTGTAGATGTGCCGCTCTGGCACTAATCTCTCATCTCACTCACTGTTGAGTCTTGGCACAAGCAGCTTCTCCATCATTCTGAGGTCCCTCCTGGGAGTCGAGGCCTTTCCATTCCTTCTGGCACAGGTGCTTGACGTCTGGTTGGCCCCTACTTTGGAGCTCTTAATATGATTGGAAACACCACTTAGAACCACTAACTATGTTAAGATAAGCATGCCTACATCATGTGTGGAAGAGAAAAATTTAACTCCTCAACAGTTTTACACAAACAAAAAAAATTTACATAAAAAGACAAATAACATTTTTATTGCAGTCAGAATAATATTATTTATTGGCAAAATAATAGGTTGTTCGCTCTTGATATGATTTAGTAGCTAAAACAGTCAACCCCGTTTCTTTTAAAGTCAAGGGCCACCACTTTTATTTATAGCAATTTCTTACGATAAAGCTTAGATAGTAAAATCATTGGGAATGAGCTTTAAGACTGTCAAGGTGTGTATGTACTATTGAGGTACTCATAATGGTTTTCTCCCACTTCATGCGGAACCGGATCATGGGGCAGCAGTCTTAAGTAGAGATTCCCAAACCTCCCTTTCCGCAGACACCACCTCCAGCTATGCTGGGGAAAGCCAGAGGTACTGCAGGCCTGTTGAGAGAAATAGTCGGTCCAGCATGTCCTTGTCGTCCACTCGGTCTCCTCCCGGTGGGTCGTGCCTGGAACACCTCCTGAGGGAGGCATGCAAAGAAGATATCCAAGCCATCACAGCTGACTCATTTCGACGTGGAAGAGAAGCTGCTCTACTCCGAGCCTCCTTGAATGATGGAGCTCCTCACCCTATCTCTAAGGAAGAACCTTAGAAAGCTCGGCCATTACCCAGTTTTCCTGTGCATCGGTAAGGGATGTAGACCGACCCGTAAATCCAGAGCTGTGTCGTTTTTGCTCAACTCTCTCTTCACCACGACAGACGCATCTTAGCAGCAGCCGCACCGATTCTTCTATCAGTCTCCCGCTTCATTCTTCCCTCACTTGTGAACAGGACCCCAAGATACTTAAACCCCTCCACTTGAGGCAGGAACTCTCTTCCAACCTGAAGGGGACAAGCTACCTTTTTCCAGTCGAAAACCATGGACTTGGACTTGGAGGAGCTGATTCTCATCCTGGCTGCTTCAGTCTCGGCTGCGAACTGCCCCAGTGCATGCTGTAGGTCTTGGCGGTAGGGACGAAATGGGCAGAGGTCTTAAACTTAGACAACTTTTAGACTTAGACAACTTTTATTGTCATTCGTTTTGCATACACTCTGCAAAACAAAATTT